CACCAAACTGAAATGCGCTTGCAGCTACAATGACCAAAACACATTTTTCTACCCTGCTTGTTAGGGCCTGGCTACTGAGGGAGTTTCTTGTCTGGGCATCTCTTCCAAGCTCTGACTCCTGCACAGCCTCTGCTTACTGGAGGGAACAAACTCTAACCTGAAGTATTGCTACTACTGCCAGCAGTGCTACTGCCAGCAGTACTACTGCTAATCCAGTACTACTAAATCCTGCGCTACCCTGATCCCCTCTGGAGTCTTGTCTCACGGAGCTGCTTGGACAGGACAGCAAAGGCCGTACTACTCGAGCCGTGTTGGCTGGTAGGAAGCAGCCTGTGATATGTGAGGGATGCAGCAAAGTCCTATTTAGAGGATGGCATCAGTGGTGCAAATAGCTTCTGTTGCCGTTTTGAACAGGGTGTTGCTTGTGCAGGAAGCATCTCCATTCTGCATTTCCAATGTCTTTTTCTGAGCCTTCAAGCCAAGTTACTTTGAGTTCTCTGGAAGAACAGCTGAGTAGTGAGGGGTAAATTACCTTTAAACCCCAATTCTGTGCCTTTGAAAAGAGTTTGGATGAAAGGAGCCCTTTGGAAAGGAGATGTGGTCTTGGGCTATGTTTGGGAAGCTGCAGGAGCTTTCTGAGGCTGTTTCATATGAGCTGACAGTGCTACTAAAGCACGAGAAGTGCTGTGGATGAGGAGAAGAGGTTCCAGGACCCTGAAGCATCTCTGACAGAGGTGAGCTCAATGCAGACTGGAGACAGCCTGGACGTTCAAAGCCAGCTCTGCCAGGAGAAGCTCTCTGTGCTCTTCCTGCTCAGCACCTCTTTGAGGTACTGCAGCTTCCCAACCTGTCCTGGCATGCACCTAGCATGTCCGGAGACCTTGATTTGTTTTGAAGTCGTGCCTGTTTTGGAGCACTTGAAGAGCATTGTTTGGAGGAGAGGCTCCTCTGCTGGGAGCAGTTGGATTCAGTAACCCTTGGCTTACTCTGCCCACAGCCCTTGTTCATCACAGCAGTGATGAGGCCTCTGTGACCAGCCCGGTGGGTTTCAGATGCCACGCTTGCTCCAAGCTGTGCCGCTCTAGGACTTGCTCGGTAGCACAGCTGGGAAGTGGGTGCTTCAGCAGCAAATGGCCCTTTCTGGAGGTGAATCTAGAGTGGTACCTGTGCAGGTGTGCGAGGTGCTGCTTTGCGTTCGGTGGGTACCGGTGTCCAGATGACAGTGCCGTGCTGGGACACCCTGTGTTTTTATAGCTCAGCAGCAAAGCACAAAAATGTGAAACTCATGCAAGCAACAGCTGCTGGGGCCTGCAGGGTTTAATGCTACTGTGTCAGATGGGCACTTCAGGCACCCAAGTGTGACTTCAACCTGCTCTGCTTCTTCCTTTCTGTCTCTCTACCCAACACTTCAGAAGACCCCAAATCATTTCTTTTTTCTTGCAAATCTGCAGGTCACAAAGCTAATATTTGGTTGATGTAAACCAGGCTTCCTTCTTTGCCTGTCGTAATGGCTCATTTTCCTGAAAATCCCCTAGCAAGACAGGTTCAGTGATGGTGTAGCTATGTCCTAGGCTGCAAATGAGAAGCCAAAAGAGCACCTGAGCCTCAGAGCATTGCAAGCACTTACAACCCCCAAATCCCACGGAGCGAAAAAACAGCTCAAGCAGAACTTTTCCAACTTACCTTTTGATAGGAGGGGAAAGGAGCATAAATAAATAAAAAGAAGGCAGTAGCTGCTGCCTTTGTGTTGCTCAGTCCCCTCCTCTGCTTCCTTGGAGACGATGTAAAAGTTAATTCATTACTGTTTGTAGAGGACTTTGCGTTTCTCTGCAGCCAAATGCCACTGAGCTTGGCTGCTGCTGCTGGAGCAGCTTGTTTGCTTTCTGTGCTGGCAGCGTGCTGGGGCACGGCCCTCCTATATATATATATATATATATATATATATGTATGTGTGTGTATATGTATATATATATATTTTTTTTTTGTTAAAATATAGGGCGAGGGGGGACCTCAACCTGAAATTCAGACCAACAGAATGCAGGCCCTTACTTATGCTTTGTACAAGGAGGCTTCAGATTGCGTTAGGCCACCGGCCCAGTCAAGTGTGGAGGTTTTGTTTTGGTGGTGTGGTTTTTTTTTTTGTTTTTTTTTTGTTTTTTTTTTTGTTTTGTTTATTTGTTTAGTTGTTTATTTGCTTAGTCTGAACTGCAGTGGCATTTAGTCTTACCGTGACCCAAATATTTTGGACCAGCAGATGCCCTTTGCAGGACCCAGGGAATATCTTTGCTTTGCCTGTTAGTAAACAGACATGAAGGCATTAAAAACTTTCTGTTCCTTTCTTCCTGCCCCTCCCCGATCTTCAAAATTGCAAATATAAGGAAAGCCTTAACGTGCTGGAGTGCACAGCAAACACGATGCCGGACTCCTCCCGAGACACGTCTTGCAAAGAGAAAGCCTCCGAATGTCGGGCCCTGGGAATGCTGCCAGTTTCCATTGCTGTTGGTGTGTGGCGTGGGTGGGGGGAAGGCCTGCTGGAGCCGCTTGGCTTCACGAAAGTGGCCGTGGGGCTGCTCTGCAACGGGAAGCCCCAAAGTCCTTGAGAGCAGGAGCGGAGGCCTGGGGCCCTGGGGCTCCCCTGAGGCCTGGGGCTCCCCTGAGGCCTGGGGCTCCCCTGAGGCCTGGGGCTCCCCTGAGGCCTGGGGCTCCCCTGAGGCCTGGGGCCCTGGGGCTCCCCGTAGGCCTTCCCCTTGCTCCGCCCTTCCCTGCGACCCTTCTGATTTTCAGCATCTTCTCTTTAATTTCTCTTTCTCAAAGACAGTTTGAAGGGGCTCAGCGTCGCCGTGTTCCCGGCTCGACACGCACGTGGTAGACTCCGTGGGAGCCGGAGCTGGTCCGTCATGGGAGCGCATCACAGACATTTGCTGTTGCACTTGGAGCCCTAACGCTGCATATATCGAGCACAGTGCAACCCGAGGGCAACTCCTTTTATTTTTATCCTTTTCTGTTCTTTTTTTTTTTTTTTTTCTCCCTCAGTTTCACCTTGCTTTCCAAGTCTTGTTGCATTTTGAGATGAAATTCCATGAAGTTTCGCTTTTCTTCCTGGAAAGCTGACATGGAAAAACTCGAGTCATGTTTGAACATGGGCAGGAAGGGAGAGTGAATGCTGCTGCCACGTGATTTCTTTTATGAAACTTTGGGTTTTTTTAGGCTGCGGTAAATTCACAGCAGAAATCACAAGTTTAGCAGGCGGAAATAAGCAGGTTTTCACTTGTTCTGTGTTAATGTGTATGCATGGGTCAGTCTGTGCTCCTTTGTCAAAGGAACATAATTATCTTGATTAAATAGAAACTTTTTTTTTTACAGCCCGGTAGTTGAATGCTTGCATGGAATTGCTTTTAAGGAACCTGATAGGAGGAAATACTAAGCACAGGCCCCTGTGAAAGGTGAAGCTCCTTTCAGGTGCTCTAGTTGGATGCGAAACACCTCCTGAATCTGTCCTAAAGATAGAATTGGCTTTAAAAGCCAAATTCATCATCACAAAGTATACAGCTAATGAAAGAAGTGGGGTTGTACCATAATGCCAAATAAAGATACACCATGAACAAGTCTTGGCCCGTTCCTTCCCAGAAGCCGGTAGATGGGCTAGGATCTAGGCTTAATTCACAGATCAGCAGGCGGGGGACACCTGGAGAGTTAGGATGGCACAGGGTATGTGTGTGTGTTTAAATTACTAGGGTGTGATGCAGAAGTTAATATTAGCACAAAGCATGGGAAAATTAAATTGCTCCCCTGGGAGAACGCATGGAATTGGTAGCAATACTGAGAATTGAATTTAGGTCTTATTTTGTTCACGTGTGTTTTTCCCATGTTACTGCCCTTCCAGTATTTTTGTCCTATGTTGTAACATGTGCAGGAATACTTGGTTGCTTTTCTTATGAGAGGCTTTGATGGTAAGTGTGAGCTTTACAGTGGCAACAGATGTGCTGCAGTTCCTTTATAATTTTTGTGGATTCAAAGTGAAATTAGCTGTGGGTTCTTGGCAAACTCCAGACCACTGAATTGGCGACTTTCTTAAGGCTGCTACAGCCAGCTGGACATTGCTTTGGGACATGGAGCTAGGGCAACGTGAAGAGAACTATGCCCTAAATCTGGGGTGAATTTTGTTCTTTTGTTGTTTGTTTGTTTGTTTTATCCCATTTTGAAATACCCTCCTAGTGTTAGCTGGTAGCAGTGCTTATAGATGTGTATCTCAGTCCACCTTTGTTGTGAAAGTGAGCATAAAGGACCTTTGGGCTGGGCCTTCCCTGTTCCTGGTGCACGCTCTGTTTTGCTCCCTCGTGTCCTCATTTAATGTAGAGGACACATCCTCCCTCCTTCAAAGGGAAGGAGGAAGTGACCCTGTCCTTCACTCAGTCCCTCACTTGGGATTGAATAGGAAATCCTGAGGCAATTCATTCTCAGCTGTTCTCCTGGGGCAGTGATCTTTGTCTTGCTGTGGAAGCTGCAAAGATTGGGCTCCTGTCCCTGCTTGGATGGAGGAGATGTGGGGAACTGCAAGGTGAGGCTGGAACACACTGGAAAGGAAAAGCATCCATGCTGAGCTGGTCCTTTCACCTAGGCTGTGCATTGCTCTCAACTGAGCCTAGGTAAGGGCTCTGTATCGCAGTTACCAGGTGGTCTAGCTCTTGTTCTAGGTTTTCCCATTGTGTCAGCAACCTAAAACTTGCGTCGATGCCCTGCCCTGATCTCGTCTTCAAACTGTGGCGAAGGGAGGCACCTTTATCTTGCATCTGCAGAATAAAGCTTTGGGTCCTGGAAGTCTCAAGTGAATTGTAGATCCCAGGGTATAACACAATTTCATGGGAGTAACAACCACATTCCAATTAATATGGCTATTTCTTCTTCCATACAACATTTTGAAAAAAAAAAAAAAAAAAAACAAAGGACTTTGCATTTTGGGGTCTTTAGTCTTGTTTGTTTTTTCTCCCCCCTTTCCATAGCATCCAGCGGGCTGCACTGGTCGTTCTGGAAAACTACTACAGAGATTTTACAGTCTACAACCCAAGCTTGTTAACAGCCTCCAAATCCCGTGCAGCCAAGCACATGGCTGGCCTGAAAGTCTACAATGTTGATGGTAGGTGAGGTGAAATGCCATCTCTGAGGCTGGGTGGGACAGGGCAGGGCTGGGATGGGGCTAAGCTCTGTTATGCACAGGTCCTTGCCTTCTTGCCTTGCCAAATCCTTGTCTTCTGCTGGAAATCTTCCCGCCAGCGCTGAGTTTGCTGATTCCAAATGACTTTGTGTTTAGCCCATAATAAGGCTTTTCTCTGAACCAGGGAAATGGCTAAATTTTAGGCCAGACTTAATTATTATGTACCTTGACGTACGTGTTCAGCCACTGAGAGTGTTAAGCAGCCTGTGCCTTGTGACCCCATGGTCATCCCCTTGGTGCTGTTGGTATGTTAAAACCAACTTTTAACCCAGATCGTTTCTCCAGTCCAGTTCACCGTGCTGCTTCCACAGGCAGCCTTTGGGAAGATGGAGATGTTTGGTACCAGTGTCAAAAAAAAAAAAAAAAAAGCTAGTGCTGTTGCCAGTACAAAACATTCCTGGTGCTGCAGCCCTAGCAGTAAATCGGTGGTGCCTGGCTGTGCTTCCAGGTTGCTGTGGGGCAAAGCACTTTGCAGGCAAACACAAAGGCAGAGCTTTCCCCATGGAGCTCTTAACGTTCTGCAAACCTGTGTCAAGCTTTTGGGCTTTGAAGAGGTGTGCAGGAGAATGGCAGGATGCATCACTGTGGATTATCAAAGCAAGGAAAACGAGGCTTAATCATTTGATGCTCCTGAGCTCAATCAGCAAAAGCTGGGATTGGTGAGCAGGATATGCCCAGCTAATCCCAGGGGGAGTCCCTTAGATGGGAAGACCTAAGTTATATAGGGAAGCCCTTTCAGCTCAGCATAGCTGAAATGATGTGACAAGATGTGGTAAGGCAAATCTTGTGTTGTATGTACTCCCTAAAATAAATGTGTGAGTTTTGACAGACTGGAGAGCAGGATTTGGGAAGGACTGTAAGGCAATTAAGAGGGCAGCGTGGGCAGGGTGTGGAGCCTGAAATACAACGAATAGCTGTCATGTAGAATTGGATATCTCAGATCTTTTTTCCCCTTAGTCTTCAACAAAGTTTTGGTGGCTTGGGCTTTTCTGCATGTTTGAGGGACTTTAGATGTTTAAAAGGCCTTGTTCTAAATGTTTCTCCAGATTTCAAACAGCACTCGAGTCTGTAAAACTGACATACAGGCCTAGATTGTGGCAGTGAGAATGTCCATTTCAGAGAGTGGAAGGGTGAAGGGAAGCAAGGGAATGGGAGAGGAGAAGGCAAGTTATCTCACTCTGGTTCTCTTCCTGCCTGGAGTGGAGAAACCCCCAGGTGAGAAAGAATTGGTCGAGTTGGAGAGGGGATGACTTGGTCAGCTCCTTTCTAGACTAAAGTTTGTGGGGAGGAAAATGAAGTTGCTTTAACCGGAATGGAAATCCTTCATTCCTTTTTTAAGTTTTAAACTAGACCTGGTGCATGGAAAAGGAGGTCTTACAAGTCCCAAAGGTGTCCATATGCCATTCAAACCAAACAGCCTGTCAAGCTCGCTGCAGAATTTCTGTTTCTCGTCTTGCTTCTGCTCTCCTGCAGCGCAGCACCTTCCTGAGAGGTGACAGGGTGTCTGTTCCTGCAGCAGGTGCTGTGGCATCCCACTGAAAAGCTGGGACTGCCAAGCTCTGAGGAAAAACTAACCCGCTGGCGTTAGCAGTTTAGGAGCAGCTAGTTCCCTAAAGTTTTTGGAACTGAAGAAGCCAGAAGCAAGCATAGAGATCTGACAGGAAGCCCTTTGAAGCACCAAGCTCGTGAGCCTGGCAGGGCCTGAAAGCTAGTGCCTTGCATTCTGGGGCAGTGCAGGTTTCCTGGGCTGCTCCTTGTGCAATGCTTTTGCCTTTGTGGCCTTGGAAATTCCAGGCTCAGAGGCGTATCCTTTAAAAGGATTCCAGCGCAGTTTACAAAGCAGAGCAGAGCGGTTCTGGCTGGGACTTACCCTGGCATCCTGACAGTCTTTTACACCCTGCGTGTGAAAAGACTGTAATAGTATTAAGGCAGCCTAATTTGTTGGCAACTTTCTGTATTTTATATTGCAGCATCCGGGAAGGAAGAAAAAACTTGCACTGAAATCTCTGAGTGGGCTGTGTCACTTTCAAAATCCAAATTATCATCATCAGGCGTAGTCAATGAGGAATATAGTGATTCTAACCCAGATTTGGGAGCTGGTGTCTTCTTGAGCCATACCCTCCTTCTCAAGACTCTTGAATAGCATCTAAAATGTTTAGACTCCAAAGAACCTGTCTGTCTGAATGCTACTGCATCCCTCCATAAAGTTTCCAGCTTCGTTTTTCGAACCTGGCCTGTGTTTTTTAGTGGAGGAAAAAATGTTTTTGTTTATCACAGTCAGAGCTGTGAGCTTCATGGGAGAGTTGCAGAAGCTTCTCTGAGTTTTAGTGTCCCTAGGCAAGATCCTCTAGCAGAGAACTCCGTTGCTTTTCCCAGGATTGCAGCTTCCCTCTTCCTGCTGCTGTGTGGCTTCTGCGAACAGCAGCACAGCCCCTGGGGCAGATGCTGCTCCAAGTGCCATGGGGAGCAGCTATGTAGCTAGCCCCCAGTCCAGCCACTTGCCAAACTGCTGCCCTGACAGCATGTGCCCTTCTGAAAAAGTGTCCGTTTTGCTGAAATGTGGTGCCCCTGCCTTTGCATCCCGCTGCAGCGTTGTATTTCCTCTCTGTATGTGACTGTCTGGAGTTTGTTTTCTACTCATTCATCTCCGTGTTTCTTGTTATTCTTGTCTTTTCTGTCTGTCCCTTTCTCCCCTTGCTGCTTCTTGTGCTCTCGCACGGTCTCGGTGCTGCAATGCGGCCTGTTCCAGGTGCCCTTGCCGCCAAACCAAAAACACCCGCGTTGGATGGTAAGTGGCATCCTTGGCATGTGCGTCTTGCCTCTTCCCTGGACTGCTTGAGATCCTTCAACCCAGTTAACTTCCCTGCTCGGGACAGGGAGGAAGGCTTCCCCTCCAAGCCTGTGCCGTCCAATGGGGTTTCTACCAGGATCCACGAAAAATGGGAGAGGGTTTATAGCCTGGGATAGGACACAGCGGGCTCTGTGACCACAGGGCACTTGTGAAAATGCTGCTGAGCACACGTCTGGTTCTGTGGTATTAAAAGCTGCTTTTTTGTGTCTCTCTCTGCGTGTTTCTGTGTCCCCCCCGTCCCGAAGGGCCGGGTAACAACGCGTCGGGGCAGTCGCGGGCCATGATCGCGGCCGCTGCGCGCCGCAGGGACTCCAGTCACAACGAGCTCTACTACGAAGAGGCCGACCACGAGCGCCGCGTCAAAAAGCGGCGCGCACGGTAAAGCTCTCCCTTGCCCTTGCTGCATCCCAAGGACGCGAGGGTCCTTTCCCAAGGACACGAATGTCCTTTCCCAGGTGCCGCTCGGCCACGCGGCGCTTGCTGAGCCTGATGAGGGAGAAGAATTTCTCGCTGCGGCCTAGGGGCTGGCTGTAAGTCTGTCACAGAAAAGAGGTGTGTGAGGCCTGGCTGCACGAGGGACAGTGGCAGCTTGCAGCTGGAATTAGCCGAAGCGAATGCTCAAGCAGAGCTGTGTGTATTATGCCCAATAAGCTAATGCAATGTCACGGATTAGGGAACAGCGCCGAGCTTGGCAAATCGGTGGTTATTTGGTGTAGGAAATCCCATTACTTCCCCTGTGCTCAGGCTTGTCATTTCAGCCTAGGGCTTCTGGAGACAGACTCGTGGAGTGGTCACTATTGCCAGTTCACAGAGGAATAAAGAATTCCCGTGCTTGCATGCAGCAAAGCGGAACGGGGCAGTTTGCATATCCTTTTAAGTAAAGGCAGTGAGAAAGGAAGGATATGGTGAAGCCCAATTGCTTTTTTTGTTGTTGTTTTTTGAAAATAGAATTATTTATTTACTTATTTTTCTTCCCCCAAACACTGTTAGGCTGTAGATTTAATGCTTTGTTGAAGCAACCCCAGGTAGTGCTTCTGCTTGCTCTATAGCCTAATTGCAGTGTGTAGTTAAGGTGCTAAACAGTTTGAGGCAAGTAGCTTACAGATAGGTACCCCTAAACTGAGCTACGTTTGCAAGGAGCATGCCAGAACTGGAAGGAATTGGCTTGTTTTGTGTTTTCCTTTGGCAGTTTATATTTTATTGGGACGATGCTGGCACAGGGCATTGCTATTCAGTCCGGCCCATGCTCCATAGCTGTTGTCTTTCAGGCTCTCTTCCAGCCGTGGAGCGATAGGAACTTGGATTATTTTGTTTTTTCCCTTCTACACAGTTCAGTGTCCTAACTCAGGCGCATAACCCCGACTTGATAACTTTTGTTAGAGCTGCTGCTTAATCAGAGGGAAACCATCAGTCACTAGAAGACCAGGCCAGACATTTCAAAGCAGGAAGGTCACAGCTGCAGCAACAACAATAAAAGGAGGAAAAAAAAAAAAAAAAAAAGAGGGAGCTCAGGAACTGATTCTACACACAGCCCTTCCCTCTCCACCCCAAATTAATCAAAAAGGGCAAGAGTGAGAGTTTCTTGTGCTGCTGAGTGCAGTATCTTGTGCTGCTGCTGGTCGTGAGGCAGCGGCTGCTCGCCTGCCCCAGCTCAGGAATGGCTTGCAGAGGATGTCTTTTGGCTGCAGTGTTAGGAGAGAAGTCAGGAATCCGATCCTTGTTCAGTGGAGGGACATGGGGCAGCCATCCAGGAGCAAAAGGTCTGTGCTGAGTTGGTGTAAATCAGAGTGCAGCTTGAGCACAGAGGGCTTGTGTCCTGGGTCATGTTATCTGCAGGCGACCTCTTCCTACTTTCCTGCCTCGAGCTGCCCGATGGAGCTGTTTTCCTAGACAGGCGCTGAACGCCAGGGCAGCTGTGCCTTGTTCAAGTCGTGTAGCTGATGTTTATGCTGCGTTGGCAGGACCGAGTACAAGCCGGGGGCTTTTAAAGCCTTAATGCTGGTTTATGGCCCTCAGTTGCTGGCTGGCTTGGCAAGGAGAGGAAAGCTGCTGTCTACCTCTCTGTCAGTAGAAAGGATTAAGTAACTCTTCTGATGGTAGACGGTGAGTCAGTGGCAGAGATGGGAATAGGAGCTTGTAAATCCTGACTCGCAGACTCTGCCTTAACCACAGGCTAATCCTCACTCTCTTCTTGTGACTCCTGCCGCCCTGGTTTTCTTTCTGTAGGCTGGTGGTTGCAGTAGAGGAGGCTTTCACTCATATCAAACGTCTCCAGGCAGAGGAAGAGCAGAAAGCTCCGGGAGAGATGATGGATCCCCGCGAGGCGGCGCAGGCCATCTTCCCCTCGATGGCGAGAGCTCTGCAGAAGTACCTCCGCACCACCCGGCAGCAGCAGTACCACAGCATGGAGAGCATCTTGCAACACTTGGCCTTCTGCATCACCAATAACATGACACCAAAGGTAACGCTTTCTGTAATGGTGCCGGAGGAGGCAGGAACAGAGAGCACGTCCGTGCGTGTCCACAGAGCAGCAGTGCAGTGCAGAGGGCAGCTTGCCAAGGACCACTTTTTTTTTCCCCCCACCTCTCTGCAGTGCTGCCTCTTGTCCTGCTACTAATTATAGAATTAGTGTCTGTATCCTAGCCTAGACTCCTATCTGTTTGACAGTGTTTCTGACTTGTGGGTTGCCTAGGCAAGTATCTGTTCCTTGCTTCATGCTTTGGCCGTGACTGTTGAACTGCGGACACTGGGAAGGAAATGAGCCTTGTAAATGTCCTAGTTTTTGTTTGTTTCCTTAAAAAAAGCCACAACACCACAGCCACCATCCTGGAGAATGCAACCCAAAGGCAGAAATGCAGGAATTTGGTCTTGCGTCCAGGACCTCCAATAACAAGAGCAGAGAGGCTGTGACGAGACACGGATTAGCACTTCTGTAGTACTGGAATCTGTCCAGGAATCTGCCCTGATTTGCAAGGGCCAGTTCTGCAAACTGTAAAACGCGGGAGACATCAAACAGCACTTCCCGTTTTGTTCCTGTCCAGACTGGCCAGGCTGCAAAGGAGGAAAACCTCTGCTTTCCAGCCTCGTTAGGGCTGAGGGAGTGAAGGGCCACTGTGCCAGCTGCAGTGATGGGCTGTGGGCTGGGCAGGGGGTGCTGCCGGGGTGGCTGCTCTGTGGAAATGCCACTGTTTTCAAAGCCCTGCTTGGGGGGCAGTGCTGAGGGTGAGAGTCAGGGCTGTGGCTTGTCCATCTTGGCTGGGATGGAGCTAATTAGGACCTCTAGCTATTGATTGGCTTGGGCTTAGAGTCCAAAATGCTGGGGAGGAAGTGGGGCAAGGATGTCTCCTGGAGCCCAGGAGCTGCGCTAATATCAAGCATGGCCCACCAGTGCTCACGTAGCTGTAACTCACCATTTGAAAGAGAGCATCGAGGCATTGAGAGTCATGGGACTGTTGTTCCCCAGGCGTCGCCTAATGTGTTCCTTCTCTCCCCAGGCATTCCTGGAGCGTTACCTCAGCGCAGGCCCAACCCTCCAGTACGACAGGGATCGCTGGTTTTCCAAGCAGTGGACGCTTGTTAGCGAGGAAGCGGTCACAAGCGGGCTGCAAGATGGAGTTGTTTTTGTCCTCAAGTGCTTGGACTTCAGCCTTGTGGTTAATGTGAAGAAAATCCCCTTCATCAAACTCTCAGAAGAGTTCATAGACCCTAAATCTCATAAATTCGTCCTTCGCTTACAGTCCGAGACTTCAGTTTAAAGGGTTTTGAGGGTGGGTTTTTTGGGGATTTTCTTTTTTTTTTCAATATTGTGCTTTTGGGTTTAATTTCCCCAATGCCGACTGAAACTGGCAGATGATGGACCAGTAATATTTGACCATCTGCACTTTATTTGGAAGGGGGGCAGGGTGGGGAGATTCGGGCTATCTTATCTAGACAGGAATATCTTAAGAGGCGACAGGGTGAGTTGGCTCGGTTAGCTCAACTTTGGAGACAGAACAGCTTTTTTTGTTGTTTGGGTTTTTTTTTTTTTTTCTCCTTGGCATACTGTAAATCTCACTTTTTTCCATTTTTCCTTCAGCATCGCAATGTGTGTGTTTTTGTTGGAACACTGCCTTGCACTCTGTGTGTGTATGTGTGTGTTTGTGCTTGCACTTTTGTGGCCCTGCTCTCGCTCCCTGCAACTGCTGGGAGAACACGTTGTGCTCCCCTCCAGCGTGGCAGCCTGCATGGCACCGGGGGAACGTGCACTGCTTTTCCGCTGGGCAAGAACAGGGAGTTTGAAGGGTGCACGTGAGAGGGAGACCTCTGTGAACCACGCAGCCTTGGGGCTGAAGGGGATTTGTTTGGTTTTCTTTGTTCCCCTTGCCCCCTCCTGTATTAGCACTGGACCACAGTGGGGTGGGTTTGCTGCCTGTTGACAAGCAGCTTGTCTTGCACTGGATCAGCCCACCTTGCAGCTATTCCTTTTCTTTTACCCGCTGCTTGTTGGTGAAATGTCTTTATTTTGCATGAGCAGCCCCCTTGTTCTCGCCGCAGTTTCATCTCTAACGCTCGCTCCCTTTGTCTGGCGGACACTCCCACAGCTCCCCATTTTTCTGCCCTTCCTCCTGGCTTTCCAAACGTGTTTCTCTAGCCCCTGTGCCCTCGGGGTCTGCCACACTCCTCCTTTTCACACCTGACGGGGTCTATATGTAGCCAGCTCCTTGCCAGATAAATCACGGGCCCTCCCTGTGTCTGAGCAGGGCAGTGCACACAGGAATGCGCCTCTGCTGCTTGCAGGGCGGCAGGGAAGAGGGGCAAAAGCGGTTCCCTTCCTCGGGAGCCCCGGCCTGTGCTTCCCCACCACGCGCCTTCGGCAGCGAAAGCTAAAGAAATACCCAACTGCATCTGAATGTTGAAAATCTGCCTGCCCGCCTTGGCCTTTCTGTCCCGTGGGAGTCTCTCCTCGGTGCTCGGGGACAGAAACCTGCTGTTTCTCTGCTTTTGTGAGAGATGTTTAGCTCTTAAAACTGCAATTTTATTTCTCAAGGCCTTTGCCCTTTAGTGTGGCTTTTGCCTCTGACACTTTTGTTTCCCGTGGGGCTTTGAAAGGCTGGCCTCTAAAGGTGAGCCTAAATCAATGTCCTGACTCCTGAATGCTGGCGCGGGACGCCGTGCGGCTCCTGTGCCAACGCCGAGCCCGACGGTGATGTGATCTCCTGCTGGAGCCCTCCTGGGGCTCTCTCCGTGCTGATGGATCCGTGCGTGTGAACGGAAAAGCTCCATTTGTTCTGCCTGGATTTATACCGGGCAAATACCTGTATGTAGCAGGAGTTGTCTGGCCTTCCCTGCTGATGTGTCTTACCACAGCGAGCCTGTGTTCATGGGGTATATAAATGTGTGCCTTTCAGTATAAGGGAGTGTTATCTTTTGATGGGGTGACTGTGATAGCCTCTACTCTCCTCTTTGGCCTCCCGTGGCCCAGCAGTGGCTGGGAGGGCAGTGCATGTCCAGCACCACCTACGGATGGATAGTCCTGCGAGGTTCAAGGGAGCGACGTGTTGTCTGAGCACCCTGATGAGTGAAGGTCCAAAGTGATGGTTCCCCAGCTACGAGTCGTCTGCAGCATCCTGAACTCTTCCTGCCGATGGATGCTTTCTCCTGAATGCCTGATGCTTACCAGGATCCAGTCCTCTCAGCGTGGCATGCAGAAATGGGATTGTGAAGAAACCGCATGGATTGGTACGCAATGGGATTCAGGGTCAGACCTGTGCCCCTTGCAGGATGACAAGTGGGTAGAATTTCACTGCTGTAAACCTTCTGTTTGGAGTTTTTTCTAGGTCAGGCTTCCTATGTATGTATGGGATTTTTTTTTAATTATTAATTGTGGCCTTCACAGTATTTTAATTTAAAAAAAAAACCAGATTGTTTTATATCCTATCCTTTAAAAAGTGGAGGGGGGCTTATAGTATCTCAAACTTGGATCTCACGAAGCTGTACGCATTTGGCTTTCCCAGTGTGCATAACCAGCAAGGATGGGAGAGCCTGGGAGGTTCTGGAGTACTTAGGCCTGTGCTCAGGCTGCTGCCTGTGGCTGAGCGGGCTCATGTGTGAGGAGCCAGAACAAGAAGCACCTTGCCCAGGGCCTGGGTGCGCCGGGAGCATGAGAGAGCGCCTTGTTTCAGGCACCTTGGCAAAAACCTCCTTTCCCAGGATTTCCTGCCCCTTTCCTTTCCCCTCTTCCCCTGGGGGAGGTGGGGATGGGTTGTCTGAAACTGTCTGCTCAGGAAACACGACTTAGTCTTTAATTGTATTAAATCCTTAAGCACGTGGAGAACCAGATGGAAGCAGCATGCGCCCGTTCTGGATCTGCTTCCCAATTGCTCTGCTGCGGGTCCAAGTGCTGTTTCTACCTGCCACTGAAAAGGCCGCTGTCAACAGGGACCAGTTCTTCAATGAAACACTCTTACCTGCATTAGGGTAAATGCTTTGTAAGAACTGAAGGAGAGACCTTCATCTCTCAGTCAGCCTGTTCACTTTTTTCAACCTTCCCTGGGACTGGAAAGAGAAGCAACCTCTTTAGTGGTGAGAAGAGAGTGAAATTGGGTCTCTTGGATGTTTTTTCTGATGTCATATTATTTCCCTGGATCTCCGTTTGTTTTGGGGATTGTTTCACACCTCAGTGCAAGACAAGCGGACCATGGTGATACCTACCTCATTGGGGTGTTGCGAGGCTAAACTCGCCTTTTGTGAAGTGCTTTGAGATTCAAAGGTGGAAGGTGCTACAGGAGTTCAGGCTCTTCATAAAAAATAGTGAACAGCGAGAGCAGACCAGCCTGTTTAGCTTTGTTTATAGCCAGCTTATGAGCAAGAACTGAGTCGCAGGAACAAAGCTCTGATCCAAGTCCTGCAGGGCTTGCCAAGAGCCACGTGCTTGTAAGGCCTGCCAGCCAAGCGCAGGCTGCTTCCCTGCAAATACCCCTCCTTTCCTGCCTGGAAGTGAAGTTGATAGCATCTCCCTTGGAAGAGGGATGCCCGGGGTGGCTGGGGATCTCCTGCTGAGCTCTGCGAGCTCAGGTGCAGGTGCCTGCGAGGGGTAGGGCTGCCCTGCTCGTCTCTTCTACTGGTCTGTTTTTCCTGTGGCTCTCAAGTGTGCTGCTCAAATGCTTAAAACTCTGCTAAAGCCAGCAGCAAAAACAATTTTCAGCTTTTTTTTCAGGGCAGGTGGAAATGGCTGTAGGTTTCCACAAAGGATGACTTCTTTCTTTCTTTTTTCTTCTCCAAAGAGTGGAAAATGAGGATTTCCTGTAGCTTCTAGGAGGCTAGGGGTAGATACTAGACCCCTAGTATCCTGCCAGTCCTGCAGCCAGGACTAGGAGAGGGTTAACACAGCCACTTAGGCAGCCCTTAGCCCAACAGCTTCAGTCACTGCACCTCCTGCTTCCATCCTACCCTTGCTCTGTGGTTTTAAGCTCTCCAGTGAGAAAGAACAACTAGGAGGTGGGATGGATGGTGCTGAGGCTGCCGTTTGGAGTCAGAAGTCAGCTCTTGATAAGACACAATTTTGGGAGACCCTTCAATTTTTTAAAATTTTTTTATTTTATTTTATTTTATTTTTTTTAAGATGAGGATCTTAACACAAAGTCTAGGGAATTGGCTGTTTCCAGGTATGCTAAGAGCTAAGCAAAGCAGTTTTAAAAAGCTGTTTGCCCGTAAGTATCTTTTAGAGCCGTTTGAGATGTGCTTGTTACAACACCTGCTACTGAAGAAACTTGAAAGACCTGTACCATGCGAAGCATAGAAACCCATTCCAGCCAATTCCATCTCGCTTACAAAAGCTTGCAAATCTGCCTGTTTTAAAGATAAAACAAAAAATGTTCCTGTCTTTCAGGAGGAGAAAAAAAAAGTACTGTAGTCTATTCCCAGACTCTGCTATTTGGTTGTACTTAGTGGCTGTACCCTGGCACATGAGAACTGCTCAGGAGCTGTGAGCACAGATGCCTGTTTTCTTGTACCCAGTTTGCGTGTTTCTCATATGCAGCTTTCCCCTTATAGATGTTTGAGTTATGTGTGTGTAAGGCCTGAAGCCAGGCTTGGTGGCTGGTGTTTAAACGGTGTTGAGGAAGAATCATCTTTGGGATCAGGCCCTGCGTAAAGCTCAGCAGAATTTTGTTCTCCTAGAAGAGAGGACTTTGTGGCTGGGGGTCTCTTGACAGGGCTGTGCCGATCCCCGGCTATTCCAGGGATCCGCATCCTGTTGCCTTCAGGCTGTGCCTCACGTTAGGCCCCAAAGTTGCCGTTCCCGCCCCTGTGGGTTACCCAGGAACAAGGTCCCCACAGCTCCCTGGCACAGCTGCCTCTTCCCGAGACTCTGTTTTCATTCCTGTGACCCCCGGGAAGCCCCGTGGGCAGCAGGCAGCCAGCCCCGATGCCGGGGAGGGGATCCCTGCCCTCGGGCGCGGCCTGGGCACCCTTCTCCAGTGGTGGGCGCAGCGTGGATGTCACTGTGAACGACCCTGCACGCTCCATGCCTGTTTCTTTACTCCAGCCTTGCCGTGTCTTGGGGAAGGGGACCGGAGCGAACCCCGCTCCCGCATCCTTTCCTCATCACTGTGTTAATACTCTTTTCTACACAAAGTGTGTGGAGTAGGGGGGGTTTTGCCAAGATTTTTCTAATTAATGGACACTAACCAGCGTTTCTCTCTACACGCGCGCCTTCAACTGCAATGGTACATGGCCTTGCTCTTCTTTTCTAATTGTGATCTTAAGTAAGCAAGTTCTTGGTGTCTGTGACATTTATGCACTGTGCGTCTAGCCTAGTGAATTGTTCTGTCCCAAGCTGGGTTCTCTTAAGTTATAGGTGGATGGGGTTTTGTTGTTTTTAAACAGAAACATGAAACCATTTTACACTTTGCATATTTTGTACAGTAAAATTCTGGGAATAAACTGAAACCAGAAATGCTCTTGTCCCTCTCCTGCCTCTTCTCCTTTCCGAGCAAAGAAAGTGCTTTTCTGGCCTCTGAGCATTCCTCATCAGTGGCTGGGAGGGGCCCCACAAACATGCGATTTAACCTTTTTGAGGCCAACTCTGGCACCTTCCTTCCAGCCCTTTCTGATCTGCCCTGCCCCAGTGAAATGAAAGCCCATTTATCACCCTTGAAGCAAGGCTGGCAGGGGACTGCTTTGAACACCTGAAAGAGCGAGCGATGGGGAGCAAATACAGCTGGCGAGGGCGTGGGGAGACGGGACCGGGAACAGGTTTTTCTACCCTGTCTTCCTTCATGGTTTGCACACAAATTATGAAGTGTGGGTTTCCTTGCCGAGCTCCTTCTTTGGACCTGTTTTGGGGGGGTAGGGGGAGAAGATGAGGAGTGGCAAGGTGAGGAGGAGTTGCTATGGATTGGGGCCCATCTCCTGTTTGTGCTGCTAAAAGGGGCTGCTGCTTTCCTGCCCAGGAGCTGCAGCTGGGACGTGTTGAACAAAGCCTTTGAAAGGCTTTGGGGCCCCGGGCCGGCCCGCTCCATCTCTACCGCTGAGGATGGAGGCAGCTGAGGAAGCCTCAAGGATGAGGATGGACCCTGGATGGGCTTTGGTACCCGCCCTTGAGGGCCTCGTGCCCTTTTCATGGGGCTGCCTCATTTTGCAGCTCTGTCCTGCAAGGCCCATGTCCTCCCATGGTCAGCCCTAGTCTCCATGCCCTGGAGTGCTGGAAAAATCCACAGGATGCTGCTGCGTGGTGCAAAACACAGCGGGGCAGTCTGTGCGATAAGCAGCCGGTGCGCAAACACCGGTGGGGAGGAGAATCCCAGCAGCTAATGCTGAGCTTGGGAGGTGAATCTGCTGGGGCTACAAAGGGCTGAACTGAAGCCCAGGAGGAAGCAGGAAGGGTGGGATGGGGGTGTGCATGGTCCTGCCTCCTGCCCTGCTTTGATCCCCCTCCTTTTGATCCGTATCCCGGCCCCTGTTGCTGCTCTGCTCTCCTGCAATGCCGAGGGGAAGGACTCGGCACTCTCCAGGGCCTGGGGTGGATGTGCGGCCCCTGCCCGTCCCCTCCAGCCCCACAGAGGGGCCAGCCCCATGGCACTGGAGCCCTGCAGGCCACGGCGGGGCGGGAGCCAGCAGCAGGTTTGTCACGGCAAGGTGCAGGGAGCAGAAATGTAGCACAGGGAGCCTCCATTCCAACCTAGCCTCTCAGGGTTGGTGTTCTTTTCCACTCAAGCTTGGCATGTTTTGTTGAACGTGTGGCTGAAGCCAAATCAATGACTGGACCCCGCTGCTGTTTGTGGTGCCTTCGCTGAGCGGGTGGAAGGAACAGGTTTTGCCAGAGGGACCAGTTCCCTTGCTTAGAGCTCGCGTGTCTGCATGGCGAGGGAACCGTGGCACGTAGCTCAGCAGAAATAAGAGCTGAGGGTGCTCTTGTGGTCTGGCCAGGTCTTTCACTGAAGGTGCGGGGGTCTTGGGGGTGTGAGGGAGCCTCGGGCACAACGCTGGAGCAGAACTGAGTGTTCCCACTCTGGGAAAGGCAAGGGGAGGCTTGGAGAGGTAGCCAATGCTTGGAGGAACTCGTGCTGAGCAAGAAGCAAGTTCTTGCCTTTGAGGGAGGAACGAGAGCAGGGGCAGCGGGGAAGGAGGAGCCTCTGCTGTGATGCCCTCTGTTTGTAAAGGCATCAGGTTGGGGGGCAGCCCCGATGCAGGATGGAAACAGCAGCCAAAGCAGGTGATTTGATGCTGAGTTGGGCTGAGGACTGCGCAGCTCAATACATAAGATCTGTTGACCACAGTTATGAAAGGGGAAAAAACATCAGCTTAGGAGAACATGGTGGGGGAGGTAGAGGGCAAAGGGGCTGCATGCTGTCAAGGTATAGCAAATGATTTGAGAACTGGGTTTGGTGCTTGGCTAAGAAGCATCAGAGCCTTTCCTGGGCAAGTAGGAATGCCTCACCACATCGCAGTGTTAGCTAAGCTAATAGTTTGATGAACCATCTAGCTGTGGAGGTGAGCAGACCTCACCTTGCAAACTCCTCAAATGACCTTTCTACTTCTACTGTTGCTGTGTATTGGCTTTGCTGCCCCAGATCTGGATGTGCAGGAGATGTGAGGGCCGATTGAACTTGAGTTTTCCAAGGGAGAAGCAGGCAGGAAGCCAGGGAGCCCTGGTTCCTGGGCAGGTGGGATGGGTGCAAGGGGAATCGGATCTCTCAGCAGGACGTGGTGCCTCACAGCAGCATGTGGGAAGGGAAGACCTGTTGGGAGTTGTCCAAGCTGAACACTTTGATTTGTCTTTCAGCGCCGCTTCTGAGTTTATCTTGGACTGGGAAGGTGATAGGCTTGGGTTACTGTCCTTTCCTGTACTGACAGATAATCTACTGGTGCAGGGGCATCCGTTCCCTTTCCACGTGTGCATCCACGTGCCACCAAGCCAGTAAGTGCCGAGAGAAGAGGGAGCAGTGAACATTGCATGTTTGCCCACGTCTGTAGGGGTATTTTGCACTGACTGCCCATGCATAACTAGAGCAATCTTGTTTGTAGATGATGGCTTGCTTTGAGGTGCTGTAATTGGTTCCCCAGCCCTGCTATGGGCACATGGGTTGGTTCATACTGGCACGTTGCTAGTGAAATGTAGAGGGAAAGAGAGCAGTTTTCCACTTTTTCCGCCTCTCCCTGCCTGTTTCCACAGTGTACTTGAAATAGGGATTGTCTCTGGACACTGTTATCACAGTGCTGCATGATCAGCTTTGCTACAGATTTGCCAGCTAACTGGAAAGCTCAAAGCTGATATTCCCTTTCCCCAGATTTGGGAGGTGAATCTGGTAGAGAAACTCTCTTTTGTGCAGGACTTGGGGTTTGCTCTAGTTTGAGCCCTAGTAATGTAACTAACCTGGGAAGCCAAGAGCTGTCGTGTGATGGCCCTGCTGCCAGCCTGCCCCTGAGAGCAAAATACAAAGAAACATGCAGAGCAAAAACAAAGATCATCACCACTGAACTCACTGTCAGAAATGGAGCATCCTCAGCTACAGCATCCTTGGAAACACAAAGGTACAAAGATCTGTTTTTTTGAAGTCAAGATGTCATGGATTGCTCTAGGCATGAAGCTGCTTGCTAAACGGCAAATTTTCTGAAGACCAAGGTAAGACTTCGAAACGCTTTGACTGCTGCAGTATTGGTCTTTCTACTTGAAAAGATAGTATGAATGAAAAATGGGCTCATGAGGAAAAGGAAGTGGAATACTTGATAAAATCATTTGATTCAGGCTCTCTAGAAAGTTTTAAGAGAGAGTCTAAACTATTTAGCTGCTTGGAGCTATCTTCATTGCAAATCAAATGCAGGTGGGCACACTTTAAAAGAGGGAGTGAGAAGTAGGTTATATCTGGCCCATAGATTCAAAACAAACAAATCTGTAAATCTTCTGGCTCCTGTTCTGTTAAGCTCGTTCTTGAGTACTCATAATACCAGTATCCTATAGTTTATTATATTTTAACTTTGTAATTGATTGGGAGAAACTGGTTTAGTA